GACACGTGAAGTTCGCCTACATTGGGGCAACACGGCGGACATTTCCGTGCCCTAAAACCAGCTCAGAAATGAGAGAATTGTGAGCAGTACGACTTATATAGACTGTAACTTTAACTGTCACATGTGACAAGTGGATTAACGCAGTACCAGATATTTCGTAACTTTGATGCTGCCAGTCGTCGGTTTTGAATATTTTACTTCTGGCGTATGTATTTATACCGCTATTTCGGAAGCCAGAAGTTTTTTTCAGACATTTCTTACGTGTGTGGTGTGTGTCGCGCACGGGAACAAAAGGCTTGATGGATTCTGTCGCCGCAATCACATAGCAATTCGTATTCAATAAATTTATTTACAACTAAACAGTTAGTCGTACGATTATATCCTTGATGTGACCGACCAGTCGGAAATTGTTGCAAGGGAAAGAAATCCATTATCTATCCATTACAACCTCTCAAAGTACTGAACGTAGGCCTCTTAACTTATAGTTGCCACAGTTGCCACGCTTAGCGGGCAGATTGATAATCACAGTTTTTATTTTGTGGTTGTTATTAGGAAGCCGCTGCCCTGCCTTCTGGTTTGTCCTCTCTGTCACCTCTTACGACACCCGCGCACGATACGAGACGGTGCGGTGGTGAGGCACGGTTTGAAAAATAACCAAATAAAATAATTTTATACTTGTCGTTCATTAAACCCGACCCGATTAAGAATTTGTGCTGTTTTATTACACCTTTACCTATAAAATGCGCGACCAAGATGAAACATGAAACTGCAAATCATGTCAGCAAATTTCTGTACTTCAATACACGCGTATAACGGAGTTAATGCTATTCATTTTCGTTAATTAATAAACTATAATGAACAATTATCTGTAGGCCATACAAATACTTCTTTTCAAAAACTATTATAGACTTCCGATTTTTATTTTGCAATTGTTTTAAATAAAAAGTATGAGAATATTTATATCTGCAAATACAAACATTTCCAACTTGAAACTGACCATCAGAATCATTATTACCATCATACTTCGAAAGTATGATGGTAATAGTGATGACCACATCGCAATCTATGAAACTTTACTCGCATTTAATAAATAGGAGTGTTAGTTACGACGAAAGTTTTGAATAAATCATTTTAATTTTCTTTACATTCATATTTTATGGTATTTTTCAAGTTTAAAGTTTATATTATAAACACAAATATATTTTATTTTAATTTGCACACAGTTATTCTACTTAATAGTAAAACTAATACGTAGGGAATTTCTACAAGACCGCATGTACCAGTATTAGGGTCATGCATCATTTTTGTTGGTAACCGAACTCAAGCGAATTAGCTGTCATTTACGTCATAACTTACGTCGACTTACGTACTCGTAACATTGTCAAACAAGGAAACATTAATAATTTTCGATGAAGTTTACCTTTAAAATCTACTACACCCAATTAATACAAAGAATAGAGAGCACAATTTCGTGAAATGGTGATTTGACGAGTACTTAATGTCGATTAGTTATTTTCTCTTTTCGCCTATCATTTCAAACTATAGGAATCTCATTTTGAAATAATAATAAATTACGAGAATACCATTTTTTTATAGGATCTGGTGACAAACGAGCACAGTCCACCTAATGGTAAGTGGTTACTGTGACCCATAGACATCTACATCTATCCTCAATAAAGACTCAAGATGCAGATGCGTTGTCACCCGTGAGGACTAAGATGGAATGCCTCTTTGCCAGTAAAAAGGGTCTCCGGTTCTCTACACTCACCATAAGAAACACAGCAGCGTTAAGCTGCTATTTTACGCTGGTATTCTGTGAGAGCGTGGTTCTTCCCCGGTCCAGCCGACCCATTCGTGCTACAACCATAATATAGGTACGTGTATTATATTATTTGAAGAAACTATTACTGATGCCGAAAAAAAATTATATTTAGATATCGTATAGCTAATTTCACTTTTCAGAGATGCTCCTTTTAGGCAAAAAAAAAAACAACCTTTAACGTAAACAGTATACGAGCATACTTGTAATGACAAAGACGGAGGCCCTAACAACTAATGATAACAAATATTTTAATACCACCACGCGGTAATTTCCTCCATTAATATAAGATATCGTTATTATACGTGAATGGAAAATCCATCTCAAACAACGACGACAAATCTTCCAACAATTACAGAAACCTTAGTAATGCGATTCCTCGAACGTACGTATTTATCTAAAGAGCTCTATGCTTTTCACAAAACATCGATCTGATGGCATCCGTAGGCGAACATGACTCACAGTACTTTGTACTCGTATATATACTTGGTGGCCAATATATTGAGTTTTCTTCGGACATAATTTATATTTAAAATGCATACTCCTATAATAAAATTATTAACATGTAACGAAATATGTACAATATTAAAAAAAACTATAATAAATAAAAACTTAAACTAAAAACTTCAATTAACTAAACTTAACTTAAATTATAAATATACTCTTATTGAATGTCTTTTGGGATTAAGCCCTCCTTGGCTTTTTTGTACATTATAATTTGTCTTAAAATATTTTATTATATACAATATAAAACTATATAAAAAAAACTATAACTAGTAACTTAATTATCATACAGTCCTACTCCCCGCGGTATCGTACCAAGAACCCTGGCTGCGTTTCCTCGCTCAATGGCTATACTTAGCCTTTGAGCGAGAAAAGAACCAGCCCTCTTATCACCAGCAGCAACGACCAGCCGCGGATGGAGTTCCTTTAAGAATTTCACCGCACGTGGTCCCCACCGACCCATAGTCTCTACAGCAAATGGCATAAATATATAATCGTCTCATATTTACGCCACTTACTCAGTTCAGCTGCCTCTGATGCCGCCCCGGCTCTTAACGAGGTACCCCTGAGAAGAGAGGCCACCAGATTAGTGCAAATAGTTTAAATAGTAAAAAAATATTTGCAAATGAATTAAATTTACTATTTTACGTCTCGTCCCTAAAACTACATAAAAGTTTTTAAGATATGTAATTTGCATTACTACGCTTCAAAAGTCCACTACTGAACATAGGCCTTCCTCATAAATTGCCTCTTAAGGGATATTTTATAGTTGTCAACTCAGGCAGGTTTTTTTTTATAGAATAAGGGTATATTAGGGGATAAGACAAACGAGCACGCAGTCCACCTGATGGTAAGTGGTTGCTGTGACCCATAGACATCGACATCTATATTCGTTTGTGAATTAAAATGCAGATGCGTTGTCAGCCGTGAGGACTATGATCAAATGCCTCTTTTCCAGTAAAATGGGTCTCCGGTTCTCTACACTCACCATACGAAACACAGCAGCATTAAGCTGGTATTCTGTGAGAGCGTGGTCTTTCCCCGGTCGAGCCGACCCATTCGTGCTACAACTATACTATAATATAGCTGCAGCATGTCTCTACCACGTTTAAACTGACCTTACTTTATTATTATTAAATTAGCATTAGAAAGATGCTAATGTTTATCTCTTGTTTCAGTTTCCCTCTGTTACACTTATGACAGAGGGAAACTGGGGGTAGTAAATTATTTTACGCCGCCGCTCTCAATCTAGAGAACATATTTTTTATGAAGGTTTCTGACATATTCATATTTTCCTAAAGGTTAGACCGCCTCCTCCTCAGAAGTCAGGAGATACTGCCGAACATAGCCCACTCCTATAGCTCCTATAGTAGAAAGGATTTGTTGACCTATTGCACCTTTCACGATGCATTCCGTCATCGCAATATACTTTACATGGGGTAGATGTTAAATGTTTGCACCTAACTTTTAATCGAGGTCACATGATCTTACGGGCACTTACGTAAGTTACTTTCAGCGGCACCCACGGGATGTGATTGAGTAAATAATTGCCGGCTACCCCGTTGACATTTAGGCTCATATTAAGAACTGTTTTTCTGGACTATTTACAAACTTTTTTACATATCAAATATATAAAAATTAATTTTTATTTGTTCGTATTTTATGTGCTGCCATACCGTTCATCAGATTGCGGTAAAACTGTCAACTTATTGCTTGCGCTAGCATGAATGTTATAGGCATATTGCATTTATCTTACACTAGGTTGCGAATCGTATCACCAAATTAATTTAAGTTATATATTACTCTTTGAATTTTGTAATTAAAAATATATTATGTAACTCTTCCAAATTTAAAACGATATTTCTTCTGCGGCAACAAAGCACCGGGTAACCAATTGGTATATAAATATTATAGTTTAGGCATTGTCCTTCTTCACATAATTTGTATACAACATAACCTACGTTGTCGGCCGACTTTCAGGGAGAGTAGGTGTCAGAGTATTGATTTTTTTCCTACAACCACCCTTGGGGCGAACACCCTCTACACTATATTTTCGCTGCATATTATTGCTTTATACTCTGTTAGACTGTGTATTTAAAAAATGTTTATCTATATACAATTGTAACAAATCATTATTTGGCCCGAAATTTTAAATATTATCTAACTAAATATTTGCTAGTTCGCGAGCGCAATCTTCTTAATAATGTATACAATTATATATCGTAATTTATTGTTCTATTTAAGGGAACACTACACAATAAAAACATAAGCGTTGACTATGCAGGGTCTACGTAGCCGACATTTGGCACGTCTGAGACAATAGCCAGTGAATCATACATACGATTACTTTGATGTTTAATAGATTTTTTTAACTATGATAAAGGATTTTGAACCTTATATCTTATTGTTACTTTTCTTAATCAAAATATGACTATGCTTACATATTCGCAATTAGCTTTTTTGATTTTAACGTATGATTATTTATCAAAAATCTATTAGCTGATTGTCAGACGTCACAATGCGACATCTCATTATATTACCAGTGAAACTATGTGTATGCTACAAATGAATTGCCTGACTCACCCCATTGTGGATATTTCTTGGAATAGTAAAACGAAAACGCCCCACGTTATTCAAACAATCAGGAATTGTAATATTTTATCCTTTGTTGTTGCAGAAATCAAAACAGAAGTCATCAGTGAGGCAAAAGTCGAGACGGAGGGACAGCAAGACGAAAAAATGAAGTTGGAAAACGAGCCTCGTGCTGTTCGCACCACTAGCATCGACAGTGATAATAGATCAGATCGCAGTGAAGAAGAAGATTCCAGAAGGGCACGGAAAAGAGCAGCGTCAACGTCCCCATCACCTATTCCATTAGACAAAAGAACAGCTCGCTTTGAGTGTCCAAAATGCCTACATCGGTTTGATTCAGCAAACGCTTTTGACATTCATCGGTTCACAGCGCATGGAGATGAAACTAGAAGTGGTTATGATGATCTTACTATTGTCGATTTCTCAGGCAAAAAATTCCCGGAGATAGCGCGAGGAGTTTGTGAACGCAACACTCATATTTCCATTGCAGAGCAGCGTTATAAATGTGATTTTTGCTCGCGAGAGTTCCCCTGTGGTCAAGCCTTGGATATGCATAGAAAATCCTGTTCTAATTCCGCAAAACTTACCAGTCCAGAAAGAGAGCGTAGGGAAGACTTCTTTGCAAAACTAGATCTAAGGAACAAGTCTTTTGGTATTCCGGGTACTTTGACACCACCTATGGAGAGATTTACACCTAAATTCGATGACGCACATTTAGGTGGAAACGGTATTAGGCATATTGATACCGCTAGGGACTTAGCTGATATCCAGTCAATCTTAAACGTCACGTCAGCTGGTAGTTTACTAGAAAGGCTAACTGGGACTCGGGTCGCTTTAGAAAATTCTGTACTTACACCTCCTGATACAATAGTAAAGGAACGTGAACAAGAAGAAACACAGGACAACTTTGCAGCAGAATTCAGAAGAATGAAGCTGCGTGGTGAATTTCCATGTCGATTATGTCCAGCAAAGTTTCCCAATCTCAGAGCATTAAAAGGACATAACAGAGTACATCTCAGTGGAACTGGGCCCGGTCCTTATCAGTGCAACATGTGCCCTCATGCGTCTTTGGACAAGGCAGCTTTAGTTCGCCATATGCGAACTCATAACGGAGACCGTCCTTATGAATGCGCGGTTTGCAATTATGCGTTTACCACTAAAGCTAACTGTGAGCGTCACTTACGTAATCGCCACGCTAAAGTAACTAGAGAAGATGTCAAACGCTCTATTATTTACCATCCATCAGAAGACCCAAATAATGATGAAGTTAATTCAAAGCTTGCTCGAGAAGAAGTAAAAAGATCGCTCGCGTTTCACGCACCTGAAATTGAACGGCGCAATGAATCTACTGGTCGTGACACTCCATTAACACACTACAGTCCGAGTTTCATCAATGACAGACACCCAGTAACTTCTTTAGTGACTAAAGCATTGCCAGATTCACCCACTCTGACACCAAGGGAATCTGAACAATCTCTACCTAGAATCAAAGTTAAGGGTATTGGACAGTTGACGCAAATACCTGAATTCAGGCAACCAGAGGCTACATTTAAAACTAATGACATTCCACCAGAACCTTACGATGAAGACGCCCCCGTTGATCTCAGTACAAGTGACAATAATAGCTGCGATGTCCTCGATCTCAGTAAGAAAAAACGTGACATAGATGAAGATCAACCTAAATCAATTCCTCAACCAGCGTTTGAGGCAAACTCTGCTACAGCTGCAGCATCAGCAGCAGCCACAGCGTTTGAAAAGACGAGATTTCTTCTAGCCCAACAAAGACTATTTGAGTCGTCTCTTCCAAAACTTGATCCCGCTTATTACGCAACTCAGCTATCTCAACTATACGCTGGTACTGTTCCCGGACTTGCTGGCCTACCTCTTCCGCCATCTGCGTTTCCAATCAATCCTTACTTTCTTCAGACATCGTTTTTTCCTCACCCAACTGATTCACAGGAACTTGCCGAAATAAAACAGCGTATACAAAAAGAAATAATACGCGGTCTTAGCATGTCAGGAGGGCGATTAGTCAATGGTGACCAGGAAATTCAACCCAAACAAGAACCTGAAGAAGAAGACAACAAATCTCTCCCTCGAACTGCTTCTCCTACTCCACCTCCACGTACTGAATCTCCACGCCCTTTAAGCAATAATATCGTGCCTCAGAACGATTCTGTTAAGATGGTCATTAAGAATGGTATTCTCATGCCAAAGCAAAAACAAAGGCGCTATCGCACCGAAAGGCCATTTTCATGTTCTCAATGTTCAGCCAGGTTTACTTTACGCTCAAACATGGAACGTCATGTAAAACAGCAGCATCCACAGCATTGGAGCGTTCGAAGACCAACACCGAGAGCTGCTCCACCATATCCCACTCCAGATAACTTGGCTGATCGCGTAAAATTTGCCCTCCTTGCTCGACATCTTGAAAGACCGTTACAACAAAATGATCGTTCTCCAATCCGTAGAGATTCAGACGAAGTTGCTGACAATGAGGAAGACGAGGACGATACTTTAGTCATTGATGAAGAACCGGAAACAGACGTGAAGTCTTCAGAGCATACCGCAGCGCACAAGGCTGCTGCGGAAATTTTAATGGCCACACGCCAACAAGAACTTCACAAAGATTTCGATCTTAAAATAGCTGGCAACCTAATCAACAAACCTGTACCCATTACCACCGATAAAACAGAAACTGGAACGGACCCTATTCAAATTTCTGAACCTGTGACTGTCCCAACGCGCAGCGATGAAGAGGAAGACGAGGAAGGCCTTGTCGCATCAACAAGCGAAGGCAATAATTCTGGAAGCGATGAAAATAAGTAAGTTTATATATATTCATTGTCACTGTTGTTTCCGTCATAAACTAAAAAATATAGTAAGAAAATTTACATTTTGGAACTGTTATTTTGTCATGTTTTATATTTTGGTTTTGTATACATTTATTTACATTTAGAAATACCATTTATTTTATTTTTCCCTTCTAGATCGGAATCAGACACAACTCAACCGCCCAAGAAAAAATCGGCATACAGCCTGGCCCCAAATCGCGTCTCCTGCCCGTATTGCCATCGGAAATTTCCCTGGTCCTCCTCACTCCGTCGCCACGTTCTAACACACACCGGCCAAAAGCCTTTTAAATGTCCGCACTGTCCACTCCTTTTCACCACAAAATCCAACTGTGACCGTCACCTCTTACGAAAGCATGGCGGCTCCGCAAGGGCTATCTTAGCAGAACCCATTTCAGACACCATCTCTGTACCTCAAAATACAAATGAAATTAGAACGGTCCCAGAAAGACCTTTTAAATGCGCCTCATGTCCCACTAGCACGTTTTCGTCCATGGAAACCCTGAAAAAACATATGTCATCGCGTCATGCGACAAGTGACTCCCAACCCGGGTCTCCAAACCCTGAAGGAAATGAGGAAGCACCGGATGGTCTAGTCTTCAAGTGCCATCTTTGTGAGGGATCTTTTGGGGACAGAAGCAGTGCTCTAGGACATTTGGCAGCTAATCACGCTGCAGAATACGAACAATTAGTCAGCAAAGGGGCGCTAGATGGTACGAGCGACCGAAGCGAAAGCGCAGATGATGACGAAAGGGGAAAATTTCCTGATCATGCCAATAGAAAGGTAAGTTGCCATCTTTTTACTGTTTTTTATCTAGCGTTTTTATTAAGTGTAAAATTAAATAAACACCACTTTAGTTTCATTTAATAGTTGAGTGATCGATATATATTCACTGTTGCACACCACAATAACAGATATAGGTCTTTTGGCTTACGAAAGAAAATATAACCATTGCGTTAACACGAAACAGCAGCATTAAGTCGTTGTCTTACTCTTGTATTGGGAACGTGTACCTTCCCCTATCGAGTCGACCCATTCGTGCTACAATCATAATATAGATGTAACGTGGCTCTACCACGTTGAAAATTCATCGCGTTAAAAGGTGCGAATAGTATGGTAGTGCGATTGAAAAGCCGCCGCTAAGGGTGACGATTAGGGCAAATAATTTCTTCATTAGTAAAGGCCCATATCCAGCTCTGGTCTTTTACAGGCCAATAAAGAAGCAGAAGGATTTGTGTAATATATAAACTTATGGCCTTTTCCTCTTAGGTGGTATGCGCCTTCTGCATCCGTCGCTTCTGGTCTGCGGAGGATCTTCGCCGTCACATGAGGACGCACTCCGGAGAAAGACCTTTCGCCTGCGACCTTTGTCGACGACGTTTCACGTTGAAGCACAGCATGCTACGTCATCGCAAGAAGCATCGCGATGAAATCACCGATGATGAAGAAGCTACACCGCCTAACACGCCGCTAGAACCTGAGAACGTAACAAACGGGTGAGTTGTCGAATTCTAGGTATTAGTGTTTTCTCTTGTATTTACAAGATAATTCTTCTGGTTATGTACTTTAAGAGATTTACTAGTTTTTAGACTCGTTAGATGGCAGTATAATATCATCTTGTTCATATCTTTCTCATACATACTTAGGCTCTCACGATGATCACATAGAGGGTTAGGCTGAAAATATGGAATACCATTTACCACGATTCTGATACACCACCACCACCACTTTTGCATCTTTCACATTCATATACACCTTGTCACATGCTCGTCGGTTACAATATATCGCCAATTTGGTTCAGAAACTTTCCTCTAGATCTAGAGTGTCTCTTGTCGTCTGTACTCACTTTAGCAGCATTGCTTAGTCCCTTTTTCCTCATTCATTATTTCTACTTGTCCAAACCTCATCGAAGCATTCCCTTTAAAATTATGATCACAGCATCTCCTCCACACTTCTCTTATCACACAATCTCTCACCGTCATTCGAAGTCACCCCTAACATACTTCCTAATGACCGCCTTTCTAAAGAATAAATTTTACTCTCATGCTTCTTCTGCCATACCTTTAAAATATACTAAAATGCAAACGCGCCAAAATTACCGGAGGCCATGAGATTTTTCTGGCCTTAGTTAAGCTCTACGACACCCGCGAACCGATATGATGTGATGCATTCTCTCACTTCGCCATGACATGGCACAACATTTCTTTGTAAATAAGTATATTTTTACTATCAGTATTATTCAACAAAAATTGCGTATATTTCCATTTTCCACGTCGATTCGCCTGCTCGGATTATCGTGTTCGGACATCTCTGACGACATATATTGTTCATTCGATATTGCCTTTGCATTTCAGCATTCGATTTTCACTTTTGAACAGGCATACTACATTTAAATTGTAATAAAACCTCACTATACGAACACTTTGCCCTTATAGCTATTGTAAACTAAATTAAAAGAAGTCTTAATCAACAATAATTACCTTAATCGCACACAAAGCACAAAGCTAAGCTCAAAATTAACAGAGATTTTATTATTCATTCATTCATTGCAGCCTGTCGAAAATCCACTACTGAATATAGTTTTTCCATATAGATTGGCAACCACAATTTTTATAATTTTGAGTTTAGAGTTTAACCAAGAAGATATTGCTGCAGATCTCGTGCAGTTTCCTCTGTCGCCTCTTACGACTCCCACGGGATGATTTATTACTCGTCAATTGTATTTTATATTAATTAAAGTAAACCTATTAGACATCTTTCATAATTATTACTGAGGCATATTCTTAATTTCAATGTATTTCAAACGAAAGTAAATCTCTGACGCTAGTTAACCGATTCGTGCTATTTTCTAAAATAGTATATTTTCATATTGTATAATTATGACATTTGAAGTTTGTTTATACATTTTTTTTTATTTAATTAGATAATTACAACTACACTTTTCCTTTCAGATACCGCTACCAAGAGGATGACGGATCGGGCAATGAGATACCTTGCAACGTTAACAACAACAACTCTCCACCATCCGCCCCTTACGACAAGAAGCTGAAGCTCGAAATGACATCACGAAAGTACTCATCAGAAGCCGAAAATGACGCTGAAAATGGTGGCGATCTGATCGGTAAACTCCTTGGTATACCGGACAAGACTATCATAAACAAACTTCTTTCCTCCGCGGACGAGGCGGCGAAATTCCTCGGGGTGAACAAATGAGAGTACGCTTTAGTCCTCGTGACGCCGGCTAGGCTAATTCTAGCCCCACGAGGACTAAAAATTCCATCGCAAACGCAATCCCAACTGCAAACGAATACTGTCGCTAATCAAATCTGTACAACGCCATCTATCAACGAGTAGAGTAACTAACTAAACACTAAGTTAATTGCAATTAGCGTGTACAATGCTTGTTATAGGGCTATTTCGAATTGTGCCTTTAGCTGCCTTAATTAATTTAACCGTCCTTTTCTGCCTTAAACTAGTTATTGTACATTTTTACATTTGTGGGTGAAAAGCAACGAAAGTTTTATTTAGTGCCAGTTATTATTAAAAAAGTACATTGTTATATATTTCGTCTTTTACTACGTCGTATATTGATGTAATTTTATCATAGAGATAAGGCTTAGTTTATAAGGACGTAGCGTCAAAATATTGTTACGACTTCGAAGAATTTTAACGCAGGATTTTTGTGAAAATAACTGTAGGATATTAACTTAAAATATTCACGTATGCATTTCCATCTAGTCGTATTACATTTTATTCCGATCTTGTTACAATTTTTCCCCATTTCGCGATGTACATTTCTATTCAATTTACAACACAGTGCTTCTAAGTGGTGTATTTCAAACAAAACTTTTTCGCAATTTAAATCCAAATTTTTCTAGTCAATTTCTTAACTTTTAATATCGATCCTAAGCTTGAATATACCAAAATATCAATAGAAGTAATTACATTCAATTACTGAATAAGCATTAAGTATTTTAAAATGTCAACCTCATATTATCCTACCAATGAATAGATTTAGACGTGGTATTTCATCGTAGTTCTAGTTAATCTTAAACTTATTTCTTTCTGATGTTAATTTACGGTTTCAGTCTATAATACTTCTTCATATCTTTCACTGCGTTCGTTTTCAATTTTATTAGTTCTATTCAATGTTATAAAAGGTTTAAGATAAAATTTTATTTGCTCAAATTCATGGCATTTCTTTATCTTTAATTTATAGTAATAACTTCGTTTCTAAGAAAAGTTAGGATCTCTTGTAAATATAATTATTTTGTTAAATATTTTATGACCAAAGGCTTTGGTGGACTTTAGTTTACCGCGTATTGTTTATCAGATATTTTTATGTTGGTCGTAATTACATTCAAACTTGACATATATGTACGTATTATAAATAATAAAATTCTATCATTAGGTTTTTGGTGCAGCAATAGTTAAGAAAATGAGTTTAAAACTCATGTTAGATAAGTTTAGTGTTAAGTGTAATTCAGTCTCCTTAAATGGATCGACGAATCATACGCTAGAATATACCTAAGTCCGAATGTGCTTTGTATAAAACTATTGCTAACTATACCAAATACAGTATATTATTATGATTGATAAAGTAGAACTTAACATTTATCTACCCTTAGAATTGTGTGTAGCTATTGGTCCTATATTATTCCTTTGTTTTTAAATAAGGAGAAGCATGTTAGTTTAATAAATATATATGTAAAAGTTTAATAATGTATATCATACTTCTGAAGAAGTGTTCATGAAAGCAATATTATAATTTATTGAAATAATTTCTAAATGAATAATTGAAATAATAAAAATATCCTAAAATAAGTTTACCTATTTTAAAAATATTAATATATAAAGTGTATAATTTAAATGGAAATCCCGCTTAATGTCAATTATAGTTAACTAAATGTATATGATTTTGATATTGTAATTATATTTATTTTCTTTTATTGAAGTTTAAATAATTTGCAGTTTCCATAGGACCAGTAAATAGGGTTCCAAATTCAATGTTTGTCTTTATAAGGAGTATTATAAATGTCTTATAATTTAAATAAGATTCATCTATTAATTCATGTACTTAAAGTATATGTTATAGAAATGTACTCTATTTAATATAAGAACCTAATGTTAAGAATATTGTGGCAACACCGCTTGGCCTTTCAACTGTAGTGTCGTGTGTTTTGAAAATTGCTGTTATTTAATAAATATATCTTAGTATTGTTAAATATTACCAATATCATTTTATGTGTGGTAATCATTCTACTATAAAATTAAGATATTCACCTTTCGCCTCTTTCTTTTTTGCAATAAGAGTGTCGTTTTAAAAACGTTTTTTGTGAAATACGTGGTGTATTAAATAAAGAAATATTGCTTTTATTTACGCATTTTTATTTTCATTATGCATGATCACAAACGTAAAATTAAGATTCTTTTTTTACGTGATTACAACAAAAATTCAAGTGCAAAATATTTATTGTAAGTTGAGTGTCATCAAAGTGAGAGAGTTGGTTTTCGGATGTATACGAGGGCGGTACTGAAAATTTCGGGAATCAAAGAAGTGACACAACATTACTATTTAAAAACGTATTTATTGCTTTTCGAAGTATTCTCCGCGAAATTTGACACATTTTTCCATACGATGGAACCAATCATTGAATCAACCATTCCATTCGGAAGTTGGGGTCTCCAAAAAGGCCGTTTTGTAGGCGTCCACAGCTTCTGCAGGTGATGAAAATCTCTCTCCACGCAATTTATTCTTTATTTTAGGGAAAGTATAGAAATCATTAGGTCGGGGCTGTATGGCGGATGGTCTAATAATTCTATGTTTTCTTGCTCTAAAAACTTTTGTGCTGTGTGCGGTGTGAGAACTCGCATTGTCGTGATGGAGGATGATGCGGCGGTTGCAGTTCTCTTTACGGAGTTCAGAAACGACCTGTGGCAAACAAATGCTAGCATACCATTCTGCATTAACCGTTCTTTGTCCCTCAAGAGGAATAGTCGTAACATGGCCGGTTTTGGAGACAAACGTGGCCACCATTTTTTTTTGCAACACTCCGTGAACGAACAATTTTTGTTGGCTTTAACTCATTTTCGAACACCCAAACTCGTGACCGGTTTTTTGTTTCGGGTTCGTACGTGTATATCCAGGATTCGTCATCTGATACGATGTTGTATACAGCATTTGAGGATCCTGCGTGGAATCTTTCGAGAGTTCTGACGCACCAAGTAACGCGAGCCGCTTTTTGCTCTTCACAGAGCGAATGCGGTATCCATCGGGAAAACAACTTTTTTACACCTAATTGTTCATGCAAGATTATTTGTATTTGACTCATGCCAATGTCTAAAGTTACCTGAATTTCGCGGTATGTCACATGTCGATCTTCCTCAATCAGCTTACGCACAGCATCAACGTTTTCTTGGGTGACTGCACTTTTTGGACGACCTTGACGGGGATCATCACTGAGCTTGACAGGTCCACGTTGAAATTCAGCAAACCAGCGATAAATTGTGGTTTTGGATAGGGCTTCATCACCAAATGCAGAAATCATCCGGTCAACATACTGTTTTTGTGTTAAACCACTTCGAAAGTCATAATAAATCATCGCTCTTGAATTTTCTCGAGTCAACTAATTTTCTCAACGACTAAACAAGTTTGACAAAACCTTGTGACAAGACCGAGAATCTTTTTTTAAATAAATAAATGGTATTCGATTTTTAAAACCAAGGGGTTTTAAATTAAAAAGATTTTAATATGACAGGAACAGTGGAAATATTCCATACCCGATATTTTTATTGCAGCCTATGTATATGTATAAATATTTACTCTTAAAGCCCAGACAGCCCGACGGACAAACTACACTTCTAGATAGCTAGGTATCATGTACGTCTACATCATCATATTAATTTACAAATAGTATTTAATACTAATATTTCACTTACATTACTTAATACTCCTTGATTGTGAGCTCATTCTTACGACAGTTTCATTTTATTAAGTAATAATAGATTACTGAGATCGGGATTACGAAATCTAGATTAGTAAAAAAATAATTTTTAGAATGTAACAATAGTAACAGTAACGAACATTAAGTAGGTATCTGCCTTCTGATAGTATATTCTAGATTTTTCTTTATTTGATTTATCGGACTCTAACGGCACTCGTAGGACAAAATAAAGCATGTTTATTATTATAGTGAGATTATTACATTCTGAGAGACGAAGAAAGAAATTTAAAGTTATTAGTTTAAATCAAAATAATTTGTTTTATTTCAGTTTAATATCGCAATACAATTTTGTATGAAATATATAATATTTTTCAGTGCATGGAATTAATTACTGACAATTTTTACAATTACAAAATTATTTTTTCTACTCAATACTAGATGACGCGACTGGACCCGATGACATAATAAGCAAAGCCAAGGAATAAAGCAAAGCGAACAAATTTTTTCATTAGTTGCAGGTATAATTAAGAGATGGCGGTATTATGTCTTATTAGTTTTAAAGCGTAAATAATATTTATCAACATTGTGTTATTTAATTTAAGTTGCTCATCTAATTAAAGTTATATATTTATTTAATCAAAATATTTGCAACGTTGTGTATTTTTAGCTTTCATAATTTCGTTGAAGTTTATATCAATTTATTATTCTGAACACGGGCAGTAATCTTCGTAGAGAAAATACTGGACATGGGAAACGTCATAGCAATATGATATATGACAGCTAACATCCCCCCTCGCCTCTCGGCGTCACTTCTAAGCATGGAGTATAGAGTAGACTACTCTATGTAACAAAGGTATCTGGTTAATATATTGTTAGGAATGAGTAAAATAATGAAAGAAAAGAAGAAAAATTGAAGATGGCAACACTGCTGTGCAGGCATTGTTAGATCGGTCCGTGTTCCTATATGTGTATGTGTTTGCTTCAGAGTAAATTCTAATACGAGTAACATTATTTTATTTAAATCATTTTGAGAATAGTTTCTAATATCAGAAGTGGGATAAAGTCCCTGCTCCTGTCCACGTATAAACTTTAAATATTCTGTGGGTTATTACGTTGGTGAAAGAATATGACGCGCCTCGCGTCTTGTTTTATGTTCAATTTCTTAAATCAAGTTTGTTGTCATATTTACGACATTGACGAATCATTAAAGTGTACAGTGAGAGTATACAAGTGAAATGTTTTAAGCCAAAAGTTAAATCCTTTTGTTTA